GGAGATCAGGCTGAGCAGCAGCAGCGCCCAGCTCGAGGCCGAGGTGTGCTACGACTTCAAGAGCAACCAGTACCAAACCTTACCAGCTGGAGACTTCCTCATCAACCTTCTGACCTTGCCCTCCAGGGTCATACACAGAGAGGACCTGGAGCTGCAGACCTTGGCCCGAGAGACAGCTCAGGGTCAAGGTAAGTATCCCACTATGTTTACATATATCAAAAGTGGAGTTGTGTTAATCTCCTGACAGATGGAATATATATGTATCAAAGATTTATACAAATATGTCGGTCATAGATATCGACTCAAGGTTCATTAGCAATCAGATGCTATCCATAGTCCTGGTGAGGGAGAAGACATGCCATGCGTGACAGGTGAAGACATTTCACCTTAACCTGTCATGCTTGTCAAGGCCAGCACTGTAATCAACGCCAGTACCGATGATTGACTACTTAAACCGACCTGACCAATACCAATCGGAATCCTTAATTAGTAATTATATATGAGGATATATATAAGCAGTGACTCTAGCACTGATCACCGCTTCCTGATGGTGGTGGTCGTGTGTATGGTGAGGGGGATGGGCAGACTGTTGGTGGTGGGGAGGGGGATGGGCAGACTGTTGGTGGTCGAGTGTGTGGTGAGGGGGATGGGCAGACTGGTGGTGTGTGGTGGTGAGGGGGATGGGCAGACTGTTCTTGGTGTATGGTGAGGGGGATGGGCAGACTGTTGTGTGTATGGTGAGGGGGATGGTCAGACTGTTGTGGTGGTGGTGTGAGGGGGATGGGCAGACTGTTGGTGTGTAGGTGAGGGGGATGGTCAGACTGTTGGTGGTGGTGGTGGTGAGGGGGATGGGCAGACTGTTGGTGGTGGTGGTGGTGAGGGGGATGGTCAGACTGTTGGTGGTGTTTGGTGAGGGGGGATGGTGGCAGACTGTTGGTGGTGGTGAGGGGGATGGTCAGACTGTTAGTGGTGGTGGTGGTGAGGGGGATGGGCAGACTGTTGAGTGTTTGGTGAGGGGATGGTCAGACTGTTGGTGGTCGAGTGTATGGTGAGGGGTGGGCTGGGCAGACTGTGGTGTGTGGGTGTTGGTGAGGGGGGATGGTCAGACTGTTGAGTGTGTGGTGAGAGGGATGGTGCAGACTGTTGGTGGTGGTGAGGGGGATGGGCAGACTGTGGTGTATGGTGAGGGGGATGGTGGCAGACTGTTGGTTGTGGGGGGGGGATGGGCAGACTGTTGTGTGTATGGTGAGGGGGTTGGTGCAGACTGTTGGTGGTGGTGAGTGGGATGGTGCAGACTGTGTGTGTGGTGAGGGGGGATGGTGCAGACTGAGGTGTGGTGTGAGGGGGGTGGGCAGACTGTTGTGTGTATGGTGAGGGGGGATGGGCAGACTGTTGTGTGTATGGTGAGTGGTGATGGTGGGGATGGTCAGATTGTTGAGTGAGATGGTGGTGGTCAGGTGGATGGTGAGACTGATGGTGGTTGGTCGTGTGTGTGGTGAGGGGGATGGTGGTGGTCGTGTGGTGTGAGTGATGGGCAGACTGTTGGTGGTGGTGAGGGGGGTGAGGCAGACTGTGGTGGTGGTGGTGGTGGTGTGGTGAGATGGGCAGACTGTTGGTGGTCGGTGGTGGTGAGGGGGATGGTGGTGGTCGTGTGTATGGTGAGGGGGATGGTGGTGGTCGTGTGTATGGTGAGGGGGATGGTGGTGGTCGTGTGTATGGTGAGGGGGATGGTGGTGGTCGTGTGTATGGTGAGGGGGATGGTGGTGGTCGTGTGTGTGGTGAGGGGTAAGGTGGTGGTCGTGTGTGTGTGGTGAGCGGGATGGTGGTGGTCGTGTGTGTGGTGAGGGGGATGGTGGTGGTCGTGTGTGTGGTGAGGGGGGGGTGATGGTGTGGTCGTGTGTGTGGTGATGGTGAGGGGGATGGTGGTGGTCGTGTGTGTGGTGAGGGGGATGGTGGTGGTCGTGTGTGTGGTGAGGGGGTGATGGTGGTGGTCGTGTGTGTGGTGAGGGGGATGGTGGTGGGTCGTGTGTGTGGTGAGGGGGATGGTGGTGGTCGTGTGTGTGGTGAGGGGGATGGTGGTGGTCGTGTGTGTGGTGAGGGGGATGGTGGTGGTCGTGTGTGTGGTGAGGGGGATGGTGGTGGTCGTGTGTGTGGTGAGGGGGATGGTGGTGGTCGTGTGTGTGGTGAGGGGGATGGTGGTGGTCGTGTGTGTGGTGAGGGGGATGGTGGTGATTGTGTTGACGGTGGTCTCTCCAGCCAGCCTCGTCACTCACCAAATTCTACCAAAATTACGTTAATACTGCAATCCACAATACATATATATATATATATATATATATATATATATATATATATATATATTATATATATATATATATATATATATATATATATATATATCACACTTGCCACGGCCCTGGGAACAATACAAGAAATTAAGACCACACTGTGGTACACTCCACAATAATCATTGCCAGGAATCACTGGCGTTACACATACCTAAGCACTCAGTGATGGAATTCCACACCTGCAAGACCACACATGGAAATGATATCACTCCGTCCCACGGACGATCAAAAATGATTATTTACCTCAATGGAATAATATAATTATTACATGGACATCCTCTCAGTCCTTGGCTAATCTATGTATACTCTGTTCCCGTGTGTACCCACACACACACACACACTGTACGTCTGTGTACACCAGACGTAAGTCCCTCTGGACTCAGAAGATGACAACAAGGGTGATTATCTCCTCATCCACACTCCACTTCACCTCCACAGGTGCTGCGTGACAATGTGACGGAACACTTGACCTCGAATTCAAGCTTTTAGAGACTAACTGATCACCAGAAATACACACATAGGTACTTACTCATTCATACTGCCGGCTTACACACCATTCCCATACATCAGGCACCCCGCTACAGGTGGCTGGCTCGCTCACGGCAGCGGTAGGTGGTGGTAGTACCTTACGTGGTATTTTTTCGTACAATTGGCGCACACTCGAACCCCTCCCACTCAACACGGCTCGGTTCGCACCCTCGACCCACCGGTGAAGTGAAGCGTTCGTACCCAGGTGACGCGCACAACGATAGCGTCTCACACAAACATGGGAAATCTGCCTGACACGAATTTCCCCATTCCCATCGACTGCTACAGAGCACTAGCAAGTCTAATCATCACTGGTATGGGATCTACGAGTCTGTTACTGCTCGTATGCACATTACCCCACAATCCCAGATCACTGTACCTCTACCCACTGTACACAATGTCTTTCTCCCCTCCAAGCGACGACTTCGGCCGGATTCTGTGACGACCGCTGTCGTTGGTGAAGCAGTTGAGTAGTCCAGCCACCACGACGCCCTATACTTCAATTTGGCCGAATTGAGTACAGGGAAGCGTCTTGACAGAGTGGCAGCTGGGTTCAGAATGATGCTCACATCGACGATCCCCGCGTCCTTCTCGAAATAACCAATGAGAGGAAGGCATACAGCGGCCTACCCCTCTCATCCAATCAGCGACGGTGTAGCATAGCCCCTAGGGCAGCTCCAAAATGGCCGACCAACATGGCGGCTCAAGATGTTTACTAAGATGGCGGCTGTTTCCATGACGACGGCTAAAGTGGCCAGCGAGCGCGGGAGGCCCACAGCTCACCCCACGCCTGCGGCCTAGCTGTTCCCGCGCAAAGTCGAGTCTCGCTCCATGCCATACAAGGAGATGATGCTATCGGCTCTAACACTGTCCACAGACGTGCTACTCCGGCCAGGGTAACATTTCTGGACTGCTGATGACTGGGGCTCTCACATGAGCCCAAACACTACATGTTTCAGTTGCTGGTTACTAAACTTAAGTCCGCCCACTTAACAAGTGCACTTAACAAGTGTACTGGCTCCTACAGGCATAAGAGCACTATTGTAAGTGAGCTGGTGACCCATCCCCTCACATATAATAAATCGTCAATTGTATCTTCTGATTTTTGTCTGTAGGGATAACGTTTCTATTAACAATATCTTTCAGGACCCTTTCCTCCGTTTTATGAGCTGTGGAAAAGAAGTTCCTGTAAAATAGTCTAATAGGGGGGTACAGGTGTTGTGTTAGTTGTCTCTTCAGAGGTTGCATGGCGTTTCACTTTCCTTCTTATGATGTCTTCAACGAAACCATTGGAGAAGCCGTTGTTGACTAGGACCTGCCGTACCCTACAGAGTTCTTCATCGACTTGCTTCCATCCTGAGCTGTGGCTGAGAGCACGGTCGACATAAGCGTTAACAACACTCCTCTTGTACCTGTCTGGGCAGTCACTGTTGGCATTGAGGCACATTCCTATGTTTGTTTCCTTAGTGTAGACTGCAGTGTGGAAACCTCTGCTCCTTTCCATGACTGTTACATCTAGAAAGGGCAGCTTCCCATCGTTCTCCATCTCGTAAGTGAAACGCAACACAGAATTCCGCTCAAATTCTGCTTATATAGTATGTATATAAAATCTGCTCGAATGGGAATGGAACGTTGTGTGAAAATTTCAAGGCAATCGGTGAAGAACTTTCGGAGAGTAGCGATTTTGAACAAATGAACATTTCCATTTTTATTTATATAGATATATAATGAGTTGAAAATATTGCTGCAAATCTCAGAGCAACAACATTTATTTGATTGTAAATAATAATTTAACCCAATAAAATTAATATTTATATAAATATTTTGATATTTCCCCAAGTCTGTATTGTACTGCATGGCTTAAGTTCAAAGAGTTGTTCTATAGAATACATTTGTTGACTGGCTTATGTATGCTCGTGAGGAACTTGAAGTTTAGTTAAGTTCCAGTTTTAAACTTTGTTTTCATGAGCGTTTGTCCTCACGTGCTTTATATCCTATCAGATGTGTATTGCTCTGTATAATTATTCTTGGGCTATTCGTAGAGTTTGTCATTCGGTGTATATTATGTCTTATAATTCTCATCAATTTTAACACTCTCCTTCCTCAAGCCATGATGCAGCCGCAGCAAGTGCAGTATATGCCACATTATCAGCAACAGCAACAAGACAGTCAGCAACACGAGCCGCAGGACGTGAGCCACGAACTGGAGGAGCTATATGGAAGTATAATGTCCGCCGAGCAACTGGCCAAGTTAGACTCTCAACCAAATCCCTTTAACTTCAGTGAACGAGTCTCTCAAACTCTGCGCATCCCGAGGAAGGTAAGCCAGGTCATGAACACCGTAGGAATGGGTGGGTTAGCCAGCGTGGGCTAGCTAGGGTGGGCTAGCTAGGGCCCGCAAAGGTCCCATCCTTAAGAAGGTGGGGCAGGCTTTGTGGTCCCTTGGCTAGAGTGGGAAAGCCAGGGATAGAAGAGGATGAACGGGGGTGTGAGATGAACGCGCGGGCAATAGAAAGAAAGAAAATAAAAATAAAAATGATATTGTTTGTGTCAGCGAGGAGTAATTACGACTGGGACCAGATAATGGGAATCTGGAGAGGCATGTGCAGGAGTTGAACCCTGGTAAGGGTGATTAAAAAAAGAAATTACAAAAGAATGGTGCCTGCATTGTTAACAGTTAAATAGGAGAGAAGTGTGCGAGGTGACAACAGCTGGTGAGTGAATAAACGGCCCAACTGCTATGAACAATGATGAGTCTAACACGAACTCATAGTTGTCTATCCTTCCTGGTTAAACAAAAAGAAAATGTGAAATTGTAATTAATTTTAGTTTATAATGCTGACTGCCATTCAAACGAATTTAGAAGAAAAAAGATGATATGTTAGGAAGCACAACACTTCCTCACGAAGGTCACATATAGTATAGAGACCAGTGCCCAGAGAACGTGATTGGTGAAACAAGTTGGGCAAATCAAAATATTTGTGATTGCTTACTTAGATTTGAATGTTTTCTGAAGGGAAAATCATCAGTTAAATATATTTATTAGTGATTTTGCATCATTCCCTACATAACATACATAGAAAATGAAATTACAAAAGAAGACACCTGGCCCACTGCGGACCACTGTGACCCACTGTGACTCTCTGTGACTCTCTGTGACCCACTGTGGCCCACAGTGACTCTCTGTGACCCACTGTGACTCTCTGTGACCCCCAGTGACTCTCCGTGACCCACTGTGACTCTCTGTGAACCACTGTGACTCTCTGTGACCGACTGTGACTCTCTGTGAACCACTGTGACTCTCTGTGACCCACTGTGACCCACTGTGACTCTCTGTGACCCCCAGTGACTCTCTGTGACCCACTGTGACTCTCTGTGACCCACTGTAACTCTCTGTGACACACAGTGACTCTGTGACCCACTGTGACTCTCTGTGACCCCCAGTGACTCTCTGTGACCCACTGTAACTCTCTGTGACCCACTGTGACTCTCTGTGACCCACTGTGACTCTCTGTGACCCACTGTGACTCTCTGTGAACCACTGTGACTCTCTGTGACCCACTGTGACTCTCTGTGACCCACTGTGACTCTCTGTGACCCACTGTGACTCTCTGTGACCCACTGTGACCTACTGTGACTCTCTGTGACCCACTATGACTCTCTGTGACCCACGGTGACCTACTGTGACTCTATGTGACCCACTGTGACTCTCTGTGACCCACTGTGACTCTCTGTGACCCACTGTGACTCTCTGTGACCCACTGTGACTCTCTGTGACCCACTGTGACCAACTGTGACTCTCTGTGACCCACTGTGACTCTCTGTGACCCACTGTGACCTAATGTGACTCTCTCTGATCCACTATGACATACTGTGGCCCACTGTAACCCACAATGACCACTGTGACCCACAACGAACACTGTGACCCACAACGACCACTGTGACCCACTATGACATACTGTGACCCACTGTGACCCACTGTGGCTCACTGTGGCCCACTATGACATACTGTGGCCCACTATGACATACTGTGGCCCACTGTGACCCATTGTGACATACTGTGACCCACTGCGACATACTAGGACCCAATGTGGCCCACTGCGACATACTGTGACCCACTGCGACCCACTGTGACCCACTGTGACCGATGTGACCCATTGTGACCCACTGTGGCTCACTGTGACCCACAACGACCACTGTGACCCAGTGTCCCATTGCGGACCACTATGGCTCACTGTGACCCACTGTGACCCACTGTGACGCACAATGGACACTGTGATCCACTGTGGCCCACTGTAGCTCACTGTGGCTCACTGTGACCCACAATGGCTACTGTGATCCACTGTGGCCCTCTGTATGTGACTCACTATGACCCACTTTGGGGCACTATGACAATTGTGGCCCACTGCGACCAACTGCAGACCTCTGTGGCTCACTGTGACCCGCTGTGACCCACTGTGGACCACTGTGACTCACTGTGGCCCATTGCCACACACTGTGACCCACTGCGACCCACTGTGACACAATGCGACCCACTGTAGCCCACTGTGACCCGCTGTGACCCACTGTGGACCACTATGACTCACTGTGGCCCATTGCCACACACTGTGACCCACTGTGACCCAATGCGACCCACTGTGGCCCACTGTGACCCACTGTGATCTACTACTGACTTGAACGGTCGGTATTGTGTAGTGGGTAAGGTACTAGATACACAAAGGTGTATGAAGAGCCCAGATATCTGGATTCGAACCCTTCATGAGGATACGTTTTGTGTTATGTATATATTATATTATATATATTATATAGCGTTTTGTATGTATATATATATATATATATATATATATATATATATATATATATATATATATATATATATATATATATATATATATATATATATATATATATATATATATATATATATATATATATATATATATATATATCTACATATACATATATATATATATATATATATATATATATATATATATATATATATATATATATATATATATATATATATATATATATATATATTTAACGATGCATAAGCAACAGGGCTCCATTAAGGAACATATAGCCTCTTCCCACAAAGTCTTTGAAAATGTAATAAGTTTTACGAAACGCGCTCAAGTGTCACGTCAGACTAGAAATAAAAATGAATTTTGGAGAATATATATATATATATATATATATATATATATATATATATATATATATATATATATATATTCTCCAAAATTCATTTTTATTTCTAGTCTGACGTGACATTTGAGCGCGTTTCGTAAAACTTATTACATTTTCAAAGACTTTGTGGGAAGAGGCTATATGTTCCTTAATGGAGCCCTGTTGCTTATGCATCGTTAAACGCCTGGAAAGAGATGTTGTTGTCTTGCCTATATACTGAGTATTTTGACCAAACCATCACCAGAGAAATCTTAGCAAACAACACAGAAATCATCGATAGATACAGTGATAGCAGGCGGCTCGACGTCTGCGAGGCACTACACATCAAGAAGTCAACACCAGCAATCAACAGCCTTTTAATGCACAACTATATTCTACCCACTTCAAGACTCCGCTCCAATATAGAAGCATCAAGAAATATGGGCCAATAAAAATAGGCCTTCTGCAGTTACCTACCTTTAATACCTGTTTGTATTTCATTGTTTCGTGTTCTGTCTTGTGTTAAAAGTTTATTTTCATCTCATCCAAAACTATTGTAACATGTCACTTCACCCAAATGTAGGTATAAAAACTCGAAAGATGTTTAAGCTCTATTCAGTTAATGTTGTGTGTGTGTGTTTAAACTAAAGTCTTTGAAAATGTAATAAGTTTTACGAAACGCGCTCAAGTGTCGCGTTAGACTAGAAATAAAAATGAATTTTGGAGAATTGATCTTTGAATTACCATCAACAGTGAAAAGAAACGTAAGAAAGATCGAGAAAATTCATGTTAGAATTATTAATCTTACTTTTTCGGTCATATTTAATAATATATGTCTACAGGAAAGACTGCTACCCAAATATACTTAAATAAATATATATATATATATATATATATATATATATATATATATATATATATATATATATATATATATATATATATATATATATATATATATATATATATATATATATATATATATATATATATATATACATATATATAAGAAGGAACTTATATAGGTTCCGGGAAGGACCGGCTATTTCCTTCGCGGAAGGAGCCGGTCAGTGGGACACTTGTCAACTCTCATCCTCGACCGACTTTTCCAAATGACTGCAAACAGTCCAAATGGGATAGCCCATAGTGGAGAACATCGCCCACATCATGAATCCAGCAATGATGTGGCGATGTTTTGTAGCCGGTCCTGCCTGGAACCTATAATTTCCTTCTTATGTATATATATATATATATATATATATATATATATATATATATATATATATATATATATATATATATATATATATATATATATATATATATATATATTAGTATATTTTGGTAGCAGTCTTTCCTGTAGACATATATTATTAAATATGACCGAAAAAGTAAGATTAATAATTCTAACACGAATTTTCTCAATCTTTCGTACATTACGCTTCACTGTTGGAGGTAAATCAAAAATCACTTCTCCAAAATTCATTTTTATTTCTAGTCTGACGCGACACGGCACGTTTCGTAAATCTTATTACATTTTCAAAGACTTCACAAATACACAACTGATTAGAACTTGCGTTTCCCTGATTTATATATATTTATATTGTGTTTCCCTGCACAACTATATTCTACCCACCTCAAGACTCCGCTCCAATATAGAAGCATCAAGAAATATGGACCAATAGGCTTTCTACAAACACTTCTATTCAATACCCATTGTTTCTGTTCTGTCTTGTGTTGATACTTTTAATACCCTATTAATATCCCCTAGTGTTCTGTCTTGTGTTAATGCCACATCACCCTTCCACCTCACTCAAATGTAATGCCACATCACCCTTCCCACCTCACTCAAATGTAGATATAAATCAGGGAAACGCAAGTTCTAATCAGTTGTGTATTTGTGAAGTCTTTGAAAATGTAATAAGATTTACGAAACGCGCCGTGTCGCGTCAGACTAGAAATAAAAATGAATTTTGGAGAAGTGATTTTTGATTTACCTCCAACAGTGAAGCGTAATGTACGAAAGATTGAGAAAATTCGTGTTAGAATTATTAATCTTACTTTTTCGGTCATATTTAATAATATATATATATATATATATATATATATATATATATATATATATATATATATATATATATATATATATATATATAAAAACTCACACCCCAGAAGTGACTCGAACCCATACTGCCAGGAGCAACGCAACTGGTATGTACAGGACGCCTTAATCCACTTGACCATCACGACCGGACAAAAAACTGATGGTAGCCGAGGTTATTTAGCCCATCAGCCCGCCGGCACTCTGATGGTAATCTTGGGCATAGCATTTTATCAAATCACCTCATTCTTTGGGCACACGTGAGGAACACGTGTGCCACGAACACGAACCAGAAATTAGTAACTCATTGGTGGTACCTTATGCGAGTGGACAGGAAAAACTGTTTCCTGTTTTTAAGAAACTTAATATTAATATGGTGTTCACTAGTAGTACGATCAAGTCCAATTTAATAAAAAAACTCCCCTGGTACAGAAGGTTGCGTGTATTCGATTCCCTGCAATAATTGTGATTTTGTGTATCTTGGACAAACAGGAAAGTCCTTAGAATCGCGGTTGTCACAACATGCTTATAGTATTAGAACTGCCCAAACGTCAAGTGCATTGTATCTGCACACGAGTTTATGTGATCACAATATTAACTGGAATGAGGCGAAAAGCATTACCAACCGTGGTGGTTGCATGGAACGGAATTTGATTGAGTCTGCTCTAATCAGTCAGTGTCCAAATCTTCTTAATATTAGTACTGGTATGTACAAACTTGATCCATTTTTTAGTTATAATATTGCACAACAGTTTATGAAAAAACTCTGATAAGGAAGGTTACAATGTCTCATAACAATTTTATATTCATATATCGTGTTTCATGAGGTTTTTCTTTAATCTTTCATCCTTATTCTCTGACCGCTTAATCCTTTTTGACCATTCTAAGTTATACCTGTTTCTGGTTATTTCTTCCCCTAGTGATGGGTTGGTCAGGTCCAGGTGTTGGCCTGTACCCTTCCTCTCTCTTCTCTAGTCAGTTTGGTGTTGACAATGGCTTTAATCACGCCGAAACGTTCACATCCTTTCATATTTCTCTGTGGATTTCCGCATATTTATATATATATATATATATATATATATATTTATATATATATATATATATATATATATATATATATATATATATATATATATATGTATATATATATATATATATGTACATATATATAATATATATATATATATATATATATATTATATTATATATATATATATATATTTATATATATATATATATATATATATATATATATATATATATATATATATATATATATATATATATATATATATATATGTCGTACCTAGTAGCCAGAACACACTTCTCAGCCTACTATGCAAGGCCCAATTTGCCTAATAAGCCAAGTTTTCATGAATTATTTGTTTTTCGACTACCTAACCAACCTAACCTGACCTAACCTAACTTTTTCTGCTACCTAACCGAACCTAACCTATAAAGATAGGTTAGGTTAGGTTAGGTAGGGATGGTTAGGTTCGGTCATATATCTACGTTAATTTTAACTCTAATAACAAAACATTGACCTCATATATAATGAAATGGGTAGCTTTATCATTTCATAAGATAAAAATTAGAGAAAATATATTAATTCAGGAAAACTTGGCTTATTAGGCAAATCTGGCATTGCATAGCAGGCTGAGAAGTGCGTTCTGGCTATTAGGTACGACATATATATATATATATATATATATATATATGTCGTACCTAGTAGCCAGAACGCACTTATCAGCCTACTATTCAAGCCCCGATTTGCCTAATAAGCCAAGTTTTCATGAATTAATGTTTTTTTGTCTACCTAACCTACCTAACCTAACCTAACCTAGCTTTTTTTGGCTACCTAACCTAACCTTACCTATAAATATAGGTTAGGTTAGGTTAGGTAGGGTTGGTTAGGTTCGGTCATATATCTACGTTAATTTTAACTCCAATAAAAGAAATAGACCTCATACATAGAGAAAAGGGTTGCTTTATCATTTCATAAGAAAAAAATTATAGTAAATATATTAATTCAGGAAAACTTGGCTTATTAGGCAAATCGGGCCTTGAATAGTAGGCTGAGAAGTGAGTTCTGGCTACTAGGTACGACATATATATATATATATATATATATATATATATATATATATATATATATATATATATATATATATATATATATATATATATATATATGTCGTACCTAGTAGCCAGAACTCACTTCTATGCCTACTATTCAAGGCCCGATTTGCCTAATAAGCCAAGTTTTCATGAATTAATTGTTTTCGTCTACCTAACCTACCTAACCTAACCTAACCTAACATTTTCGGCTACCTAACCTAACCTAACCTATAAAGATAGGTTAGGTTAGGTTAGGTAGCGTTGGTTAGGTTCGGTCATATATCTACGTTAATTTTAACTCCAATAAAAAAAAAATTGACCTCATTCGTAATGTAATGGGTAGCTTTATCATTTCATAAGAAAAAAGTTAGAGAAAATATATTAATTCAGGAAAACTTGGCTTATTAGGCAAATCGGGCCTTAGACAGTAGGCCGAGAAGTGCGTTCTGGCTATTAGGTACGACATATATATATATATATATATATATATATATATATATATATATATATATATATATATATATATATATATATATGTCGTACCTAATAGCCAGAACGCACTTCTCAGCCTACTATTCAAGGCCCGATTTGCCTAATAAGCCAAGTTTTCATGAATTAATGTTTTTTCGTCTACCTAACCTACCTAACCTAACCTAACCTAGCTTTTTTTGGCTACCTAACCTAACCTTACCTATAAATATAGGTTAGGTTAGGTTAGGTAGGGTTGGTTAGGTTCGGTCATATATCTACGTTAATTTTAACTCCAATAAAAAAAAATTGACCTCATACATAGAGAAAAGGGTTGCTTTATCATTCATAAGAAAAAAAATATAGTAAATACATTAATTCAGGAAAACTAGGCTTATTAGGCAAATCGGGCCTTGAATAGTAGGCTGAAAAGTGAGTTCTGGCTACTAGGTACGACATATATATATATATATATATATATATATATATATATATATATATATATATATATATATATATATATATATATATATATATATGTCGTACCTAGTAGCCAGAACGCACTTCTCAGCCTACTATGCAAGGCCCAATTTGCCTAATAAGCCAAGTTTTCCTTAATTAATATATTTTCTCTAATTTTTTCTCATGAAATGATAAAGCTACCCATTTCATTATGTTTGAGGACATTTTTTTTAATTGGAGTTAAAATTAACGTAGATATATGACCGAACCTAACCAACCCTACCTAACCTAACCTAACCTATCTTTATTGGTTAGGTTAGGTTAGGTAGCCGAAAAAGTTAGGTTAGGTTAGGTTAGGTAGGTTAGGTAGTCGAAAAACAATTAAGTCATGAAAACTTGGCTTATTAGGCAAATCGGGCCTTGCATAGTAGGCTGAGAAGTGCGTTCTGGCTACTAGGTACGACATATATATATATATATATATATATATATATATATATATATATATATATATATATATATATATATATATATATATATATTTTCAAAGACTTCACAAATACACAACTGATTAGAACTTGCGTTTCCCTGATTTTATATCTACATTTGAGTGAGGTGGGAAGGGTGATGTGGCATTACATTTGAGTGAGGTGGGAAGGGTGATGTGGCATTAACACAAGACAGAACACTAGGGGATATTAATAGGGTATTAAAAGTATCAACACAAGACAGAACAGAAACAATGGGTATTGAATAGAAGTGTTTGTAGAAAGCCTATTGGTCCATATTTCTTGATGCTTCTATATTGGAGCGGAGTCTTGAGGTGGGTAGAATATAGTTGTGCAATAATTGGCTGTTGATTGCTGGTGTTGACTTCTTGATGTGTAGTGCCTCGCAAACGTCAAGCCGTCTGCTATCGCTGTATCTATCGATGATAGATACAGCGATAGCAGACGGCTTGACGTTTGCGAGGCACTACACATCAAGAAGTCAACACCAGCAATCAACAGCCAATTATTGCACAACTATATTCTACCCACCTCAAGACTCCGCTCCAATATAGAAGCATCAAGAAATATGGACCAATTGGCTTTCTACAAACACTTCTATTCAATACCCATTGTTTCTGTTCTGTCTTGTGTTGATACTTTTAATACCCTATTAATATCCCCTAGTGTTCTGTCTTGTGTTAATGCCACATCACCCTTCCCACCTCACTCAAATGTAATGCCACATCACCCTTCCCACCTCACTCAAATGTAGATATATATATATATATATATATATATATATATATATATATATATATATATATATATATATATACATATAAGCACAGAGTAAATTTATATTCGTTATTAACAATACAAATATATGTATGGATGCATGCAGACGGTGGGGCAGCAGACTGACCAGCCTCCCAGCAGCACCTTCGGCGCCAGTGTGGGCCTCTCAGTGATCTACGACGCGTACCAGCACGACTATGTGTTGGTCCTGGCCAGGGAGAGGCTGCGCCAGGCGGACAAGGACAAGGACGACGACAGGGAAAAGAAATCTGGCAAAAAGGTTTGTGGAAATAAGATTTTTCTTTGAATAAATGTACAGGAATAAATAGATGCCCAGCAGGTTAGTACAGGGGTACACACACACGGGGACAGGTGCCCAGCAGGTTAGTACAGGGGTATACACACACGGGGACAGGTGCCCAGCAGGTGAGTACAGGGGTACACACACGGGGACAGGTGCCCAGCAGGTTAGTACAGGGGTACACACACACGGGGACAGGTGCCCAGCAGGTTAGTACAGGGTATACACACACGGGGACAGGTGCCCAGCAGGTGAGTACAGGGGTACACACACACGGGGACAGGTGCCCAGCAGGTTAGTACAGGGGTACACACACGGGGACAGGTGCCCAGCAGGTTAGTACAGGGGTACACACACACGGGGACAGGTGTCCAGCAGGTTAGTACAGGGGTACACACACGGGGACAGGTGCCCAGCAGGTTAGTACAGGGGTACACACACACGGGGACAGGTGCCCAGCAGGTTAGTACAGGGGTACACACACACGGGGACAGGTGCCCAGCAGGTTAGTACAGGGGTACACACACACGGGGACACGTGCCCAGCAGGTTAGTACAGGGGTACACACACGGGGACAGGTGCCCAGCAGGTTAGTACAGGGGTACACACACACGGGGACAGGTGCCCAGCAGGTTAGTACAGGGGTACACACACACGGGGACAGGTGCCCAGCAGGTTAGTACAGGGGTACACACACACGGGGACAGGTGCCCAGCAGGTTAGTACAGGGGTACACACACACGGGGACAGGTGCCCAGCAGGTTAGTACAGGGGTACACACACACGGGGACAGGTGCCCAGCAGGTTAGTACAGGGGTACACACACACGGGGACAGGTGCCCAGCAGGTTAGTACAGGGGTACACACACACGGGGACAGGTGCCCAGCAGGTTAGTACAGGGGTACACACACACGGGGACAGGTGCCCAGCAGGTTAGTACAGGGGTACACACACACGGGGACAGGTGCCCAGCAGGTTAGTACAGGGGTACACACACACGGGGACAGGTGCCCAGCAGGTTAGTACAGGGGTACACACACACGGGGACAGGTGCCCAGCAGGTTAGTACAGGGGTACACACACACGGGGACAGGTGCCCAGCAGGTTAGTACAGGGGTACACACACACGGGGACAGGTGCCCAGCAGGTTAGTACAGGGGTACACACACACGGGGACAGGTGCCCAGCAGGTTAGTACAGGGGTACACACACACGGGGACAGGTGCCCAGCAGGTTAGTACAGGGGTACACACACACGGGGACAGGTGCCCAGCAGGTTAGTACAGTACAGCAGGGGTACACACACACGGGGACAGGTGCCCAGCAGGTGAGTACAGGGGTACACACACACGGGGACAGGTGCCCAGCAGGTGAGTACAGGGGTACACACACACGGGGACAGGTGCCCAGCAGGTTAGTACAGGGGTACACACCAGCAGGTTAGTACAGGGGTACAGGTGCCCACACAGGGGGGGACAGGTGCCCAGCAGGTGAGTACAGGGGTACACACACACGGGGACAGGTGCCCAGCAGGTTAGTACAGGGGTACACACACGGGGACAGGTGCCCAGCAGGTGAGTACAGGGGTACACACACGGGGACAGGTGCCCAGCAGGTGAGTACAGGGGTACACACACGGGGACAGGTGCCCAGCAGGTGAGTACAGGGGTACACACACGGGGACAGGTGCCCAGCAGGTGAGTACAGGGGTACACACACGGGGACAGGTGCCCAGCAGGTGAGTACAGGGGTACACACACGGGGACAGGTGCCCAGCAGGTGAGTACAGGGGTACACACACGGGGACAGGTGCCCAGCAGGTGAGTACAGGGGTACACACACGGGGACAGGTGCCCAGCAGGTGAGTACAGGGGTACCACACGGGGACAGGTGCCCAGCAGGTTAGTACAGGGGTACACACACGGGGACAGGTGCCCAGCAGGTTAGTACAGGGGTACACACACGGGGACAGGTGCCCAGCAGGTTAGTACAGGGGTACACACACGGGGACAGGTGCCCAGCAGGTTAGTACAGGGGTACACACACACGGGGACAGGTGCCCAGCAGGTTAGTACAGGGGTACACACACACGGGGACAGGTGCCCAGCAGGTTAGTACAGGGGTACACACACACGGGGACAGGTGCCCAGCAGGTTAGTACAGGGGTACACACACACGGGGACAGGTGCCCAGCAGGTTAGTACAGGGGTACACACACGGGGACAGGTGCCCAGCAGGTTAGTACAGGGGTACACACACGGGGACAGGTGCCCAGCAGGTTAGTACAGGGGTACACACACGGGGACAGGTGCCCAGCAGGTTAGTACAGGGGTACACACACGGGGACAGGTGCCCAGCAGGTTAGTACAGGGGTACACACACACGGGGACAGGTGCCCAGCAGGTTAGTACAGGGGTACACACACACGGGGACAGGTGCCCAGCAGGTTAGTACAGGGGTACACACACACGGGGACAGGTGCCCAGCAGGTGAGTACAGGTGAGGTACACACACACGGGGACAGGTGCCCAGCAGGTTAGTACAGGGGTACACACACGGGGACAGGTGCCCAGCAGGTTAGTACAGGGGTACACACACACGGGGACAGGTGCCCAGCAGGTGAGTACAGGGGTACACACACACGGGGACAGGTGCCCAGCAGGTAAGTACAGGGGTACACACACACGGGGACAGGTGCCCAGCAGGTGAGTACAGGGGTACACACACACGGGGACAGGTGCCCAGCAGGTTAGTACAGGGGTACACACACGGGGACAGGTGCCCAGCAGGTTAGTACAGGGGTACACACACGGGGACAGGTGCCCAGCAGGTGAGTACAGGGGTACACACACGGGGACAGATGCCCAGCAGGTGAGTACAGGGTTACACACACGGGGACAGGTGCCCACAAGAGCCCAGCAGGTGTTCACAGGAGCCCAGGACAATGAGGCACCTGTTGAGAAGATAGAGTATGAATCGCCCCGGGGAACTAGCCACCATTGCATTAACGTGTTGAGTACACATGACGGTAAAGGAATTGGATAGACCACAAGAGATGCTGAGGAAGGTGAAGACTACAGACGTGGAGACTTCAGTAAGGTGAGAGACTACAGACGTGGAGACTTCAGTAAGGTGAGAGACTACAGACGTGGAGACTACAGACGTGGAGACTACAGTAAGGTGAGAGACTACACTAAGGTGAAAGACTACAGACGTGGAGACTACAGTAAGGTGAGAGACTACAGACGTGGAGACTACAGACGTGGAGACTACACTAAGGTGAAAGACTACAGACGGGGAGACTACAGTAAGGTGAGAGACTACAGACGTGGAGACTACAGTAAGGTGAGAGACTACAGACGTGGAGACTTCAGTAAGGTGAGAGACTACAGACGTGGAGACTTCAGTAAGGTGAGAGACTACAGACGTGGATACTACAGTAAGGTGAGAGACTACAGACGTGGAGACTACAGTAAGGTGAGAGACTACAGACGTGGAGACTAGTAGTAGTAGTAGGCATCCTTAGTCTCGGGAGACTATGGAGTTGCGTCCAAGTTGTCAATCCTGGTGCAGCGTCTGGTGTGACTAATGAGGCCAATCCGAGAGTGGCAGTCCATCCCACACCGAGCACAAACGAAGTCCGATTCTGGTCTGTCTTCCTGGCTACCGGCTTTCCTTCTCTGTCCCTTTGCCTCCGATTCCTTGGCAAGTGACTCCTCAAACTTGGAGAGACCACTTTGAACAGACTGCCTCCAGGCTGAACGGTCTGCAGCCAGTGTCTCCCATATAGCAAGATCAACGTCCATGGCTTTCAGGTCCCTCTTGCATACGTCTTTGTACTGCAGCTGGGGCTTGCCTGTTGGACGCTTTCCCTGCATCAGCTCTCCATACAGGAGATCCTTGGGGATCCTGCCGTCGCCCATTCGCATAACGTGCCCGAGCCAGCGCATTCGTCTCTGTTTCAGCATTGTGTACATGCTAGTGATTCTTGCTCTCCTCAAGACGTTGTTGTTTGTCACCTTGTCCTGCCAGGTGATGTCCAAGATGTGTCGAAGGCAGCGCATGTGGTAGGCATTCAGCTGTCTTTCCTGACGGGCGCGGAGTGTCCAAGACTCACTGCCATAAAGGAGAGTGCTCAGGACACAGGCTCTGTAAACCTGAATCTTAGTATACTCAGTTAGCCTATTTTTGGCCCACACTCTCTTTGTCAGTCTGGACATGGTAGTAGATGCTTTACCGATGCGTTTGTTTAGCTCCGTATCAAGAGAGAGGGAGTCAGAGATTGTGGAGCCCAGGTACACGAAGTCGTGAACGACTTCCAGTTTAGAATCGGAGATACCGATGTCAGGTGGGGAGTCCATTCCTTGTCCCATGACTTGTGTTTTCTTCAGGCTTCAGGTTTTCCTCAGTCCGAAAGCCTGAGAGGCCTCGCTGAAGCGGGTCATGAGCCGTTGGAGATCTTCGGCTGAGTGGGCAGTGACTGCTGCGTCGTCGGCAAAAAGGAAGTCGCGCAGACACCTCAGCCGAACCTTTGTCTTGGCACTCAGCCTGGCGAAGTTAAAGGGCTTTCCATCCGACCTGGTCCGGAGGTAAATGCCTTCCGTGACAGATCCGAAGGCGTGCCTCAGCATAACTGCGAAGAAAATCCCGAATAGGGTTGGAGCCAGTACGCAGCCCTGCTTTACTCCACTTCGGATGTCAAAGGCGTCTGATGTTTGGCCATCAAAGACCACGGTGCCCCTCATGTTCTCATGGAAAGATCTGATGATGCTGAGGAGCCTGGGTGGGCATCCGATTTTGGGGAGGATCTTGAACAGGCCATCCCTACTGACAAGGTCGAAGGTCTTCGTCAGATCTATGAAGGCTACGAAGAGTGGCTGCTACTGTTCCCTGCATTTCTCCTGCAGTTGTCTGAGGAAAAAGACCATGTCGATGGTGGACCTGTCAGCTCTGAATCCGTATTGTGATTCTGGATAGGCTCTTTCTGCAAGTACTTGGAGCCTCTTCAATGTGACTCGAGCAAACAGCTTTCCGACAATACTGAGGAGGGAGATTCCATGGTAGTTGTTGCAGTCGCCCCTGTCACCTTTATTCTTATACAGCGTGACGATGTTGGCATCCCTCATGTCCTGTGGCACCTCTCCTTCTTCCCAGCAGAGGCAGAGAGTTTCATGCAGCTCCATGAGCAGGCTACCTCTGCAGCACTTCAAGGTCTCAGCAGGAATGCCATCTTTGCCAGGAGCTTTACCAGAAGCAAGGGAGTCTAGGGCATCGCTGAGTTCTTCGAGGGTTGGTTCGCTGTCGCGCTCCATTAACACAGGCAGACACTCAATGGCTCTCAGGGCGTCTTCGGTGACCACATTGTCCCTGGCGTATAGCTCAGAGTAGTGCTCGACCCAACGCTTCAGCTGCAGTGTCTGGTCCTGAATCACCTCGCCAGTGGCAGATTTCAGAGGAGCGGTCTTCCTCTGGACTGGGCCGAGGGCCTGCTTGATGCCGTCATACATTCCCCTTACATTGCCTGTATTCGCTGCAGTCTGTATCTGGGAGCAGAGCTGGAGCCAATAGTTGTTGGCACATCGCCTGGCACTCTAGCAGTGAGAGACTACAGTAAGGTGAAAGACTACAGACGTGGAGACTACAGTAAGGTGGAGACTACAGACGTGGAGACTACAGACGTGGAGACTACAGTAAGGTGAGAGACTACAGTAAGGTGAGAGACTACAGACGTGGAGACTACAGTAAGGTGAGGGATTTTTTGAGTGAAGTCTAGTGGGGAGGGAACTAGAAGGGGAGACGACAGCTGATATGGTGTAAGGTATTACTCAGAAATATGAAGATGCAACTACGCAACGAGGAGGTGCATCCCACACAAGTCAGAGGTGAACGGGAACGGGAAAGTATATCTCTGATTCACTAGGCAGTGCAGAGAAGCACTGAAGAGAAACAAAGTATCATGGGAACAATAGAGAGAGCTCGGGACAGAGGAAAATTGAGAGGCACATAGGAAAGCCAGAAATAAATACACCAGAGTCAGGAGGGAATCTGAGAAACAAATTGAAAAAGACATTGTAGGAAAGGTTAAGGTCTAACCAAAGCTGTTCCAAAGCCATATAAGGAGAATAACAACAGTAAGAGACCACGTGATAAGGCTTAAGAGACAAGGGCGGAAGTCTCCCGGAAAACGACGAAGTGTGCGAGGAACTGAATGAAAGTTTTCAGATCTTTACTACGAACCAATGTGCAGACCAGGGTTGAGTGATAAAAGGCCAGAGGAATCACTGGATGACATAGCAGTCACTGTGGAAGAGGTAAGGAATCACCTGAAGGAAGTAGATGCAACAAAATCAAGTCTGGAGGCCAGACTTAACATTACCGTGGCTGTTGAAGGAGACTGCAGAAGTGCTTTGTCACCCACTAACTGATGTCTTCAATAAAGCAGTTGAAACAGGACATCTCCCCAAATTCTGGAAAAAAAACAGATGTAGCCCCAATATTCAAGAAAAGATACAGTCAGTAGGCACAAAATTGCAGACTAGTGTATAGCATGTGAGACTAGTGCCTTACATGCAAGATTCTCAGAGGAGTTGACAGGGTATAAAAAGACAGTTTATGTGTCACACGGTGTACCCGCACAAGGGCTGTCACAGGGAGGGTACCCGCACAAGGGCTGTCACAGGGGGGGTACCCGCACAAGGGCTGTCACAGGGAGGGTACCCGCACAAGGGCTGTCACATGGAGGGTACCCGCACAAGGGCTGTCACAGGGGGGGGTACCCGCACAAGGGCTGTCACAGGGGAGGTATCCGCACAAGGGCTGTCACCTCGTCATCCGGACATCTCTCTTATCCACCTAGTTGTGTGAGCGGAACGGCTCTAGCTGGTGGGTACCGCCTCTTGTCTTGTCAATTTTTCTGGTATACAGAGTGAGGTAAAAACATTATCAAATTCTTGTCAGTATATCATATATATTTAAAATCTCAAGTGGCTCATTCTGGGTAGAGGTTGACACATACGGGGCCCTCGTGACATACGCACACGCACGCACACACATGCACGCACACACACACACACACACACACACACACCACACACACACACACACACACACACACACACACACACACACACACACACACACACACACACACACACACACACACACACACACACACACACAGTACACACATATACACACACACTGGAGTATGCGGCCCCAGCATGGAGCCCATAACTTGTCAAGCACACGACGAAGCTGGAAAAAGTTCAGACGTATGCCACTAGACTAATCCCAGAACTAAGAGGCTTGAGTTACGACGAAAGGCTGCGGGAAATGCACCTTACGACACAGGAAGACAGAAGAGTGAGGGGAGACATGATCACTACCTACAAAATCCTCAGGGGAATTGACAAGGTAGACAAGGATAAACTATTCAACACTGGTGGTACGCAAACAAAGTGACACAGGTAGAAACTGAGTACCCAAATGAGCCACAGGGACGTTAGAAAGAACTTTTTCAGTGTCAGAGTAGTTAACAGGTGGAATGCATTAGGCAGAGATGTGGTGGAGGCTGACTCCATACACAGCTTTAAATGTAGATATGATAGAGCCCAGTAGGCTCAGGAATCTGTACACCAGTTGATTGACAGCTGAGAGGCGTGCCCAAAGAGCCAAAGCTCAACCCCGCAAGCACAATTAGGTGAGTACACACACACAAACACACACACACACACACACACACACACACACACACACACACACACACACACACACACACACACACACACACACACACACACAGTTCGATCTTGGGCGCCGGCGAGAAACAATGGGCCTTGTCTTTCACCCTAATGCTCCTGTTACCTAGCAGTAAATAGGTACCTGGGAGTTAGTCAGCTGTCACGGGCTGCTTCCTGGGGTGTGTGTGTGTGGTGTGGGAAAAAAAAGTAGTTAGTAACAGTTGATTGACAGTTAAGAGGCGGGCCGAAAGAGCAGAGCTCAACCACTGCAAGCACAACTAGGTGAATACAGGGGGGTACCTGCACAATGGCAGTCACATGGGGTACCCGCACAATGGCAGTCACATGGGGTACCCTCACAGGGGGGTACCCGCACAAGGGCTGTCACATGGGGTACCCGCACAAGGGCTGTCACAGAGGGTACCCGCACAATGGCAGTCACATGGGGTACCCGCACAAGGGTTGTCACAGGGGGGGTACCCGCACAAGGGCTGTCACATGGGGTACCCGCACAAGGGCTGTCACAGAGGGTACCCGCACAATGGCAGTCACATGGGGTACCCGCACAAGGGTTGTCACAGGGGGGGTACCCGCACAAGGGCTATCACATGCCGTACCCGCACAAGGGCTGTCACATGGGGTACCCGCACAAGGGCTGTCACAGGGGGGTACCCGCACAAGGGCTGTCACAGAGGGTACC